GTTGATTTTCTGAGTATCACACAGCTATTATGTGGTATCACACAGCTATTACGTGGTATCACACAGCTATTATGTGGGAGAAGCACCTGGACCAGCCCAAAGTGAGTAAAGAACTAACCTTGGGTGCAAAATTTAAGAGTGTCCAAAAAACTCAGTAATTAAACTAAATAATATTGTAATGCAATATTAAAAGTTCCAAATTAATGCAAAAATGTGTGATGACAAAATATCAAAATTTTAAATGAGGACATGGTCATTTTTACTGAATTTTCCTTTTGTCTATGGTTCCAATATGATTTGGCAGGACATGAGTAGGAGGCCTGAACTTGAAAGCTATCAGTCTGAGCTCAGGGTCTATGTTTGTATCCATTGTTGGCTGATGTTTCTCAGGAGATGAGAGATAAAGAATGCATATAACTTACATTCTTGTAAAACTGATGGCCAAAGTTAATGGTGAAACCATGGAATTGGTTCTTTAGAAATAAAGCAGAAAAAAATGACTAATTTAATTTCCCTAGTATGCTTAAAAACTTAAGAATCTGTATAGTTTGGCTTCAAAGACAGAGATCAAATAAAAATCTTTTTTAACTTTAAACTTTTCCTTGCCTCTCTTGGCACTCTTTTATGACAGCCAAGAATCCAATTACTGATCATAAGAAGCTAAAGCATTTTCCCCTGCGTCTAGTGGTATATGTTTCTGTAAGAAATAGAAGATACAATTAAGAGTGACTTGAACACTGAGAAACACTTCTTATCTCATGTAACAGAATTGCTGGAAGAAGAGTGATTATTCCAAGATTGGATAATTCAATGCCTCAGCAATGGCATGGATTCAAGTTCTTTTATTTTTAACCTTTGCCTTTATCACTGAGCCAGCTACATTCCTCATGGTTATAAGGTGGCTACAGCAGCTTCAGGTTTTCTGATGCTGTGCAACAAATTTCTTGTTCCCCCTTTTAACAGTATTAAAACCCTTCCCAGAATCTCTCATCTAAAATCGTATTCTAGAACTAATTGTGAATTCATGATTTTATTTGTTTGATAGCAGTATAACATAACAGTTAGAAGTCATGTTCTTGAGGGTACAAAATCAGGTTTCATCATTTATTACCTGTGTAACCTTAGGCAGATTATATAAATTATCTGTGGCTCAGTGTTTTTATATTTAAAATAGAGATAAAATAACTACCACATTGAATTATTGAAAGGAAAAAGTGAGTTAATATATGTAAAATTCTTAGAATGATATCTTGCAGGTAATATGAACTTTATAAGTGTTAGCCTCTATCATTTTTATGATGATCCTCACTGTGTTATACATAATTAAACTCAGAAACAGAAGAGGTAAGAAAGTACTATTACATGAGTATTCTTTAAAAGGAAGACATTAATAAAAGGTTTAATTGTATATTATTTCCACTGATATTATTTGGTTGTGATGTCTAAGGGAAGGAATAAGAATTGACTTGAGGACTGCTCTCTTATTTAAGATACATCAATATTTATATCTATAAATCTATCATCTTTTTAAAATTGTCCACATAGTTGAAAATCAGAAGCTGATCTCAAGCCAGCAACATTGACTTCATGAAAGTAGCCTTATTTGTCTATTTTAGAGCCAGGCAGTATACATGTCTGCAGAGTTTATATAATGCATTTAAGCATAAGGATAATTAAACAGATATCTAGTATGTTGGGTTTTATTGTTATGTTTCTCAGTGAACACTTAGAAAGAAGGGAATGGGAAAATGGTCTCAATCTATTCAGATAATAAAAACCCCATTTGCAGTAGTCTTCCATTAGACATAAAATATACTCGTGCTAAAATGTCTTTAATGATGCCAATACAATCCAGTTTCTTACATATAATTCTTTAAAAATTCTCAATTGCAATGATAAAATCCATTCATTTCCTGTCTGTAAGGTTTAATTTAACCATTGAGGCTACATGTCATGCTCACATGAAACTCTCCAGAATGTGTTAAAATAAAGACCAAGTAGTGAAGTTACAATGACATTGAATCCTGGGGATAAGTTTCCCGGAGACCAGTATTTTATAACTTGTCATCTTCAGATGGGTTGTGAATTTCCTGAAATAGAATATAAAATTTAAAATTTCCCCAAAAATCTTCTCTCTCATATGATTTTTCCCCTCTGTGGGATCTTACTCCTCAGCATGAGTGGAATATTTCTTCCTATTTTAACAGTATCAACAACAGAAAACCCATTACGACCCTAGTCCCCCTTCAACAATTTCTGAATCTCTGTTATTTTCTTTACAGCAAAATATACTCACTGCCTCTAAGTTCTTCTTATTTGATCAGAATGCATTCCACTGAAACTGCCCTTTGAAGATTACCAGTGACATCCTGATCATTAAAGCTAAAAGTCATTCTCATTTGACCTATCAGCTACATTAGCTGGTTGATAATTCTATCCTCCTTAAAACAATTTCTTCACTTGGAATCTACCTAGTACATTTAGTATATTTCATTCTCTTTTATTCTGCCTTTCAGTTTCTCTCTCTCTCTCCGCCCCCTCCCTTCGTACCTTCCTCCCTTCTTGTATCTCCTTCTCTGGCTCCATTGATGGCTCTTTTCCATCTCTGACTTATTCCTATGCTTTAAATATAGGTGTGTCCTTCAGTCTACTCTCTTGTTGATCACATTTAGCGTCATGGCTTTGAATACCTTCTACTCTCTATGCAACTCCCAAGTTTCTATCTTCAGTGAGGACTTAACTTTTGTAGATCATAGTTAGCTATACAACCTGATACATCGCCACATATATGTGTGAAAGGCAACTCAAGTTTGACAAATCTTAAAACTCCGCTGCTTACACACTCCCCCGCGAAATCCCTACTTCTCTCCAGCCTCCTATCCCCTCCTTAATAAATGGCATTTCCATTGTTCTGTTTTCTCATACTAAAAACCTTGAAGTTACCCTCTCTTTCTCTCACATTCCACAGCCAAACTGTAAGTCTATACTATTAATTCTAGCTTTTAAATATTGGCTTGGCCAAAAAGTTTGGGGTTTTTTTTGTTGGGTTTTTTTTTTTTTCCATATGATGGCTCCAGCAGTGCTTAGTTGTCTTTAACTTCATTCAAAACAATTTTGTTAGATTGCATATGACAGCTATCCTATCAGCATGCATTTAAAAAAAAAAACAGCTGGTAAATTTTGGTGTAGCCATTTTAATATTCAAGATGGAAGAAGATTTGCATCATTTTTGGTGTGTTATGCTTTATTATTTCAAAAAAGTTACAATGCAACTGAAATGAAAAAACAATTTATGGAGTGCATGGAGAAGGTGCTGTGACTGATCACACAGGTCAGAAGCAGCTTATGAAGTTTCTTGGTACTGTTGACATTTTGGCCAAATAATTCTTTGCTGTGGGGCTGTCTTATGCATTGGAGGATGTTTAGCAGCACCCCTGGCCTTTACCCATTAGAAACCAGGAGATAGCAGACATACTCAAAGTATCCAAATCAATAAAGTCATTGGTAAAAATAAGAAATGTGTTTTTTATTTTACATAAAAAACTAAACAGGTTTTTTGGCCAACCCCATACATTCAGAATCTGATCACACCTCACCACACACACTGTTAAAACACTGGTAGAAATTACTATAAATTTTCTCCTAGATTACTTCATTTGGCTTCTGCCTGATCTTCCTATTTCCAATCTGGCATTTTTTAATACTCAACACAGCAAACAACATTACATAAGTCAAAACACTTCATCCTTCTTCCAATGACTTCCTATCACAATCAGAGTGAACACTTTTTATTTTTAAGCACCTGGGATATCTAACAAGGATAAGCCAACTGAATCTTGCTAGAGCTCAATATGATCATTACTTTGTCAATTCCATATTTTTATTCTGTATAACAAATTATAATAAATGACCTATCAGTCTTATCTAAGTCATAGCTACTTAAATCAACTTGTAACTCACAGTTTACCTGAAAATTTACAGATCCATTTTCTCCATGATGCTTTTCAGTACAGTATGGGTCAACCATGATATCTTCTGTTCCTGACCATCTATCACTTACAGTTCATATTGCAATTTGGATAACCTAATAATACATTATTTAATTTATTCTTATTTTTCTCCATTTTAAACTCTTATTTATATTAAAAACTTCTCAAGGGCAATTTCATTCTTGGTAACCCCATAGTATATGGACAACAGTTGCATAATAACTTTTCTTTTTAATTGAATACACATGCATACTATGATGAAATGTAGTCTATGTTGGGTTGGCCAAAAAGCTCATTTAGTCTTTTCCATAAAATAAAAAACACATTTTTCATTTTCACCTGTAACTACATTGATTTGGATAACTTGAATATGTTGGCTATCTCCTGCTATTGGCTTCTACTGGTTCTAAGCAGTATTGGTTCTACTGCTTCTAAGGCCAGGGGTGCTGCTAAGTATTTTCCAATGCATAAGACAGCCCCCCAGCAAAGAATTATTTGGCCAAAATGTCAATAGTACCAAGAAATTTCACAAACTGCTTTTGACACATTTGATCAGTCACAGCACCTTCTCCATACGCTGCACAAATCCTCTCATTTTTTTTGCATTTCATTTGTGTTTAACATTTCTTGAAATAATAAAGCACAAGACATTGAAAATGTTGCCTGTCTTCTTCCATCTCCAATATTAAAATGGATGTACCAAAATTTGCCAATTTTGATAAGTTTTTTAATGTACGTTGATATGACAACTGTCACAATGTAGCCTAACAAAATTGTTTTTGAATGAAGTTAAAGACAACTAAGCACTGCTAGACCCATTGTATGAGAAAAAAACCTAACAAACATTTTAGCCAACCCAATATTTCTGAGCAGAAAAATTATAGCCAAAAGATATTTAAATCCATAAAATTGACATATTTATGTAGTCAAAAGAACAAACCAGGGAAAAGTTTTTCTTGGTTTCTTTATGGAAATAATTGTAAAATTTTCTTTTTTTAAAACTACTTTTAGCAAGCTCTATTTCCAAGATTGCCTCAGATCCTCTAAAATTTGCACATCATGCTGTGGAGGAAACGACAGACTGGGTCTATGGCTTCTTTTCTTTATTGTCTGACATCATCTCGTCTGAGGGTGATGAAGAAGATGATGAAGGGGATGAGGACACTGATAAAGGTACAAAGAGTATAGTGACACGTTTAACTGCTATGACCAATATTAGATATGCATTACAGTGATTTGCTTAGGTTTAAGCACAAATAAGAACTTGGGTCATTCTAAACCAAAATGAATACACTTCTGAGTGCTTATAGAGAATCAATAGGATGCCAAACTCAGTAAATTGGCCTCATTTGGCTTTAACCTTATAGCTTATCTGCCATTATGGTAAAGATGTCAAAAGTAAATGCTACTATTAGAGTAGCATTATAGTAGAGGATTTTATAATGTACTACCACAAACCTACAATAGAAACATATTCATATGCTTCTTTGGGAGAAAAGTAGTAGCTATTTCTCAAGCTTATCCTTAGGAAAGTTAAAATAACATTAAACCTAAATATACATATAAATGTTTTATACACGTAAGTCATATTCATATTCAAATAATAGAAAGCAATCTTACTAAAATCACAACTATTCAACTAATGTATATACTCTTTCATATAAATTAATAAATAAATAAAAATAAACTCAAATCATACATAAACCACTATTGAGTAGGTGTGAAAGAAAAAAAGCAGTTTGATTCTGCTTTTTAGTGAAGTTTTTAGGGACAGTTTTAGACATCAGACATCATGCATTCAGCCTTGACTACCAGGAAAGTTCTTATTATTTTAGTCCTTTCTATGACTTTGTCTGAATTTGTGTTTGGCCCCGTGAGGGGTGGAGAAGAACAATAGAGAACTGAGATTAACATGATACATGAACCATAATGTGTAATTTGGATAACTGCCACAATTTTGTTGAACTCATAAAAGTAAAAGTGTGTCTAATAAATATACATAAACAAAGTTTATATTTAAATCCTGGAATTTGGGAAACAAAGTGATATGAGGACTATTATGATAAGTGAAATAAGCCAGGCGGTGAATGACAATTACCATATGATCTCACCTATAAGTGGAACCTAATCGACAAAATAAATGAGCAAAAAAGAACCAGAGACATGGAAACAAAGAACAAGCTGACAGTGACCAGAGACAGGGAGAAGGGGACAATGGAGTAAAGAAGGGGAAGGATCAAGTCAAAGAACATGTACAAAGGACCCATGGTCAAAGATAATGGGGTGGGAGCAGGATTGGGATGGGGCAGGGGAGAGCAATAGGGGTAAAAAATGGGGACAACTGTAACTGAACAGCAATAAAAAAATAAAAAAACTAATAAATGTTTTTAAGAAATGAAGGAAATGTAAAAATAGAGAAGCAATATTATGCTGTGCTACAAGTTTTTCTAATTTACTGTTTTTGTCTTGGTTTAGGAGAAATAGAGGAGCCTCCCTTGAAAAAAAAAGGTTGGTTTTCTTTTTCCATCTTTAAAATGAAGTTTTTGTCTCTTATGGTAACACTGATTTTCAATATGACTCAAATATATTTTACTTGAGTTTTAGCCTTTATTTTTAATATACAGTATTTATTTCATGATTATATCTATATTTATGGTTAAGAAAAGAAATGCTTGATTCTTTTCAATGAAGCTGATCCCACTTTTTTCCAATTGATTATTTATTTAATTGATGCCTCGTTCAATAGCTGTGTGAACCTATCTATACACAGATCAATGTTAGTTCAAATAGTGGGAATGAGAGGTGAATTCTGTAGCTTTGGAAATGGCCCAAGAAGATGATGTCCATGATTTTCATTCTCACCATGGCCAGATTTATTAATTCTAAATTTTTCTTCTTATTTTTTATTCCATTTTTTTTATTTTTAGGTAATAAGTATGGGACATGGTGCCTGAGATAGTGTGGAGGATAATAAACTTGGAGGCACAAGCGTATTCAGGCAGTATATATCATGTATGATCCTGCACAAGTACAGTTACCTGGGTGTACTTGGATGTGGTGTAGAGAAGACTTGTTATGAGTTTATCTTATGATGGGCTATTTTATACATTTCCATATTTAAAAATTGTGGTTTAAAGAGTATTATTTTGTAATGTAGAATGATAATCTCTAAGAACATTTGTTCTTTATTCATTTAAATTACTTTTCACCAATGTCTTCATTAATATTCTTTCCCATTCAGATATATTGAATAACTTTTAGCCATGTTATAGTAATGAAATTATCAGGCTGTGGCACTGTTTATTCAACTGCCCTGTATCTATATAAAGAAAGCATTTTATTTACGTACACTGAAAGTGTTAGTTGAATTTGTATAGTTATTGCTATTTTTACCAAAATAAAAATCCAGCTACAAAGTTGTTTATAAGTGAAGCTTACAGTTCTAATTTGATGTGGAATAATGGAATAATCTCAGGGTTGTGGGATTGATTATTAAATAGATTACCAATATGAATTAAATTTTTGAATTTGCTATTCTGTGGCTCATGTTGTTATGTATAATTTAGCTTTAGAGTATTAACCGTAGTACCTAGTTTCTTTACATTCTTTTTGCATATATTTTAAGCTTTTCAGAGGTAAAGGAAGGGGGAAGGGTTAAGTCAAGGAACATGTATAAAGGATCCATGGACAAGGACAATGAGGGGGAGGACTGAATGTCGGGAATGCTAGGCAAGGCAAGGGAGAGTAATTGGGGAAAGTAAGGACAACTGTAATTGAATCACAGTAAAAATTTTTTAAAAATTTAAAATATTAAATTCTATTACCAAACACTCCATGATAAGTTTCCAAGGTACAGAATCATTATGAAATTTTATTTTTTATTATGTCATTATTTAAAACTTATAACTGTAATGACCAAAAACCATTGGAAAGCCCACTTCCTGGAACAGTTATGTACAGTGTATGGTGGATGTGCTTTGTTTATCTGGAGTAATCTTGTTGAATAACGTTCTTTGTATGAGGGTACCCTCATGAATATGTTAACACCGCAGTCTCTGAGGGGTAAACAAGTGCAGATAACATTAAAATAATCAAATTACATTTTTATGCTTTCCTAAATTTGCTCTGTCTGACGACATGTCTAAGTTTATAATAACACCACTTCCACTTCACAAAATAAAGAAAATACCCTTCACCCATTCCCAAACTGCTAGAATGCTGACCAAAACAACCACTGGGACTTCCTGCCTTGGGCGGCTTACATCGGCTAAAGAAACATGATGTTGGTATGCAAGTGTTTGGTGTCCCAGTGGGATGTCCTGAAGTGACATATGTGGTAGAGTGGAGTGATCAGAGAGCAATGACAAGTTTCATTTGATGGCTTTGCCTTATGTTTAGCTGAATAATATGAAAGAATGCATTGTCCTTGAGGGAGAAAACTATGAGAGCAAATCAGAAAGAGTATCAATAGGAAAGATAATATGAAACGTAAAAATGGCTTTCGAAAATTTTAAATAAGCATTTCTTTTAGTTATTCTCAATTTTGTTCCTAAGAAGTTTTAGAGAGTGTACAATCCAAATGAAAGAGATGGGGAATATGAAAATAAAAAAATATATATAGCCTAAAAATATTAGTACAAGGTGGTATGTTGTGTCCAGCTAAGGACATTTAAAATTGTTGTTTCCAAGATAAGCAGTTCTTTTTAGTTATTCTCAATATTTTTTCCTAATAAGTATTTTTGGTTTAAGAGAATGCACTTTGAAACAACCAAAGTAGTATAGGTTGGTGATATTGATTCTTTTAAATATTATTGGGATATTTTCTGAGGCTACCAAACTTTTAAGGATGCAATGAATAAAGCCATAGATGCCACATTTCTGTGATTCATTTCAGATGAAATACGTTTTTTTCAAGAATAAATTTAAAAACTACATAATGTAATTAAATTATAAAATAATTAATTTAATTGTAGTCAAACCTCATCATATTTCATTTAATATAAAAAAATGTCTACCCTTGGCTGATGTGGTTCGGTTGGTTGGAGAATGCTCCCTTAAAACAAAAGGCTATGGGCTTGATTCCTACTCAGGGTACCTGCCTAGGTTGCAGGTTCTATCTCCAGTTGGGATGCGATGAGAAACAACCTATCAATGTTTTTTTCTGACATTAATGTTTCTCTCCCTACTTTCTCTCTCCTTCCTTTCCCTTCTTTCTGAAATCAATAAGCATGTCCTCAGGTGAGGATACAAAAGAGTTTAGTATTTTGAATCTCATACTGACAAAAATTTAATTATATACTATTTTTAGAACCAATTCACTATATATTTATATACAGAATACACAGTATGTTATATACCATTTATTTGTTTAGCCACCAATGCATTTAAAACTTTATGCACCTTATAAAGAGATGCCTTTTAATAATTTTTTATTTTTCAGTTTTAATTATTTTATTTGAAAAATTTTAAGATTCTTATTAAAACAGGACATGAAAGAAATTTTAAAATTTCTCTATATTCACACTTTGGTTTCCTAGACAACGTGATGATGTAATAAAAAATTGAATATAAAAATATATTGTTCTTCAATTAAATCTTGTGAGGGAAATGCAATAAAAATATTAATTAAAAGAGATAAGTGAAAGATATAAAATTTCCACATTAAAAAAAGAGTTTGTTGGTCTGTGTATATTTTAAGTCGATAATGAAGTGTCTCAAAATATAGTTAATTCTAATTTTAAGATCAACCTGATTTTTACAGAAATTTAACAATTTTATTTTTAAATGTCAAATTGTACAATAATCTGTAAATTATTTGCAACTTTTAAAATTATGATAAAATATTTTAGAATTTATCTTCAAAATATAGAAGAACATGCAGGGTTTACTAAAAAAAATTAAGGAATTGTCAAAAGAAAAAAATTGAAGTTACTATAATAGAGAACGAACATTTTGTTTTCTGGATAACCCTAGAATCCTGAATGAGAACAAGAAGCCCATGATATTCCCTATGGTCAACAATATGTTTTCTTAGTTAATCACTATTTTGGAACACTGACATGTTTTATCTCTTCAATAAATGTATTTTTCAACAAATTTTTAACTGTTTTCTATGTGCCAAGCAATTTATAAATCTTTTCTTACAACATTCTCAAAGGCTGATGATTAAAGTTTGTTAAATAAGGTAGTCAATATTGTATTAAAGTTTTTTTGTGGTATTGCTAATAAGGTTAATTATCTCTTACTAATATCAGGATCAATGTAATATGGGATTCTATAGCCAAAAAAATTGCAAGTGAGTAACAGATCACCTTACTTAGTATAAAGCAATATAAAGACTATATTTAACAGTTTGAAAAATAAATGAGCAATTGCTATAGTAAATGAGATAAAACAGTTTGAAAATTGTATATTTGACAATGATGAGGGTATTTATAGGAGGTGATCGTATACAAACTGAACTGAATAAGGATGAATTGCAAGTACATAAACTCTATTTTTCAGAAAAATAGTTTAATTTACTTCATTATTCATACATATCAAGTCAAAGGTAAAACCAGGTTCACCAAACACACACACAGAATCCAGTATTTTTTTTTCTTTTTAGATTTTATGTATTTATTTTCAGAGAGCAGGGAAGAGAGGGAGAAAGAGAGAATAACATCAATGTGTGTTTGCCTCTTGAGCGCCTCCTACTGGGGACCTGTCCAGCAGCCCAGTCATGTGCCCTGACTGGGAATTGAACCAGCGATGCTTTGGTTCACAGGCTGGCATTCAATCCACTGAGCCACACCAGCCAGGGCAGAATCCACTATTATTCAAACAAAGTTGAATATCTTTTCAGCTTAACCATCTTCTATTTCTTTTTCAAATAAATTACTGATTTCTGATTAATTTAATTTGATTTTCCTTTCAATTTTCTATATTTATATTTAAGTGCTACTGACTTTTCAGTTTATGTAAACATTCATAGAAAGTGTAATTCTTTAATGGGTATATAGCTTTTTTAATTTTTTGTACTAACATTTCTAAATGCATCATCAATATATTTATCACCTTTTAAAAATTTATTCTTAAACCTCAGTCTATAATAAGTCTATATAAGAACGATCATTATGACATTTGTGTATATTGAACTGTGTAATTTTAGGAGACAATAACAGTCTCCTAACAAGAAATTAATTTAATAATGTTGTTTTCTAACATAAAGTTTTAAAGTTAAGAAAGAATAGTTATGGTTATTCAGATGTTAGCACAGTGTTTTGGGAGGAAAACCAAGTCTTCAATTAGGAGCATGATATCCTTATACATTAAATAATCTCTTGCCTAGAGGGAAGACCCAGAGACCCCTTTCCATTTTGCATTATGTTCAATTTCCTTGCTTCCTAACTACTTGTTCGTTGAAATAAGGAACTATCTATCATTAAGCTTGAACAGGACCCAAATGCAAAGGCTGATATTCTACAAGATTGTACCTGATGTATGCCAATGGTAGAGGAAGAGTCTCT